GACCAGTTTTCAGCAGCAGCTACCATTTCTGCTTTTAGTTAAGCAGGAAAGGGAGGGCTAGTCAGGTGAAGATTGGTCTCTGTCCCTAATCTATGCAGCCATACCTCTGAAAAAATATTTTTTTTCTTCATTCTGCCTTTCCAAATAAAAGCCTTATTTAGGGGCATGTTATATCTGAGAAAATATGGTATTACCATGGTTGCAGGAGAAGGAACTTGATTTAATTGACTGAAAGCCAACAACTCTTGAGGTCTAATCCTGATCAACACCAAGTCACTGTGTAGCCTTGGGGAAACTCCTTAAAAAGATATGTCAGGTCAACTAAGGCCAAAAATTTATGTTGAAAAATGCAACCAAGGATTCATGAAAAGCTTCCATCAGTAGGAATCAATGTCACCTATTTTGTTTTTAATTCCAATGGAAGAAGTTATCTGTTTGGATTTAAAGATTTCTTTGCATTGTGTTGAACCCCTAACATTGTAGCATTGTGTCAGTGACAGACCTGAAGGCAATACTGATTAGGATTATTTAAAAAAATTATAACTTAAGATGAGAGACAGCATGGGCTTGATCCTGAGAGCTTCTGAGCAGTGGGTACTTATAAGTGCTAACTATTCATTACAATTCAAGAAATGCTAATTAACTATACGCTAAGTAATAATTACATTTCAAGAAGTAGATTCTGCCCTCTGGTGAGTGCTTTCCATCACCCTTGCCAGCCTAAATTAAAATTAAATGCTAAAATCTACCCATTAGCTAGCCTGTTGCCAAATCCAAGGGCATAAAAGACAAAGAATTCTTAAAAGTATGTAAGCTGATTCATACTCTCCCAGCACAATACTTCCTGGTTAATACGTTTCTTTGTTTCAGGGTTCCTTTATTCAGAGTAGCAGTCTACTAGTTTGTTAGGGCAGTTGGTTTGTCTTAACAACCCTATCATGCTTGACACTACTGATATACCAACCAATGATGAGTTATTAATAGTTCTTATAATGAGTGAGTTCAGAATTCTGAAATACCTCCATTTGCCTGGCTATATTGGCGTCTTGGTGTGCCATTCTAAATCCTGTAGGTAATTGAGCAGCTTAAGATAATATGCTTTCTACAGTACAATTTAGAATGCCTTTGTGGTTGGCCTCCTCTCCCAAGTAAAAGTGGTTATTAACACTATTATAATCTGCTGTTTTCTGGCACTCTGCAGCTTTTGGAGCTGAGAGGAGGCACTGTCTGCCCTGGGATAGGTGCTGGGAATGTTTATACTGCTACTGAGTCTTGCCCTTCAGGCTTGCTTCTAGATCAAACCCATTAACTAGTTACATTATACCTTCAGCTCACCCCCATCAGTAGCCCAGCCAATTTGCGTTCCTACCTGTAATCTGTTCAGAATGCAACCAAGGGCACGTCCACACATGCAAGCACATGCGCTTGCAGGAGCTCAAATAGAAGCCATGCAAATTTGAGCTGGGGCTTTTTGCCTCAACACGCGTGCTCGGACATGCACTTTGTTGTGGAGCAAATTGTGC